AATCAGGAAGAGATGTAGATCTTCTTTAATTTCTTTTCACAATATTTTAGAGTTTTCAACAGTGTGACTTTTGAATTTCTTTTATTAAATTTATTTGTATTTTATTCTTCCTGATGGTATTATATATGGAATTGTTTTCTTAATTCCATTTTGGAGTGGTCATTGCAAATATATAGAAATGCAGTTGATTTGCATCCTGAAAACTTGCTTAGTTCATGTTTTGATCTAATATTATTTTAGTGGTACTCTTTAGATTTTCTCTACGTATGATCATGTCATCTGACAATAAAGATAGATTTATTTCTTCCTTTCAAATTAGAATTTATTTTATTTCACATTCTTGTCTAGTGTTTTAGCTAGTACCTATGTAACACATTGCACAGAAGTGAAAAGGGTGCCTTTTCTTGTCTTTTTCCTTATCTGTGAAAGAAAGCGTTTAAGTCTTTCACCATTAAGTATGATGTTGGCATGGGTTTTCTGTAGGTGCTTTTTTTCATTTGGAGGAAGTTCAGTTCTATTCCTAGTTTCCTGAGTATTCTTATCATGAAGGTTGTTGGAGCTCATGAAATAACAATGAATTTGTCCGCGTTTGTTAAGATGATCATGCAGTTTTGTCTTTTATTCTGTTAGTATGTGGTATTATATTAATTGATTTTTCAGATGTTAAAGCCACTTTGTTTTCCTGGGATTAATTACAATTTTTTTGTGTGTATAATTCTTTTTATATGGCTAAGGGTGTGGTTTGTTAACATTTTGTTGAGTATTTTTACATATATTCATAAGGGATATTGATCTATAGCTTTCTTGTGATGTCATTATTTGGTTTTAGTATCATGTTTTACTTAGTGTCATGTGTTTTCTCTTCTTGTACTTTTTTGGGGATTTTTAGAAAGAAACAATATTAATTTTTCTTTAAATTCTTGGTAAAATTATTCAGTGAATCCCCCTGGACCTGGGCTTTCCTTTGTGGTAGTTTTTTTGATAACTAATTCAATCCCTATTTTTGTTGTTATGGGTCTAAAACAGTTCATGTTTTTCTAATGATTTGTCCTTTTCACCTAGTTATCTCATTTGTTGGCATACAATTTATATTAGTATTCTCTTATGATCCTTTTTTATTTGCCTAAGGTTAGTAGTAATGTCTTCAATCTCATTTCTTATTTTAGAAATGTGAGTTTCTTTTTTTGGGGTGTCTACCTAGATAAAGGTTTATTAATTTTGTTGGTATTTGGAAGAACCAAATTTTGGTATTGTTATTTTGCTTTATTGTTATTCTCTATTTTTTGTTATTCCAATTCCATCGTGTTTTTTTTTTTTTTCTTCTACAAGTTTTGGATTTTGTTTCCTTTTTTTTGTTGTTGTTTTCTAGTGTCTGTGGTCACTAGTGTCTGTTTTCTAGTGTCTGTGTTTTCTAGTGTTTTCTAGTGTCTGTGTTTTAAAAGTTCATTTTTCAGTTTTACTGAACTATATTGGCATATAACATTATAAGGTATACAACTTAATAATTCAGTACATGTACACATAGTGAATTGATTCCTATAATTTCAGTTAATATCCATCACCTCATATAGGTATAACTTTTTTTCTTGTGATGAAACTTTTAAGATCTACTCTCTTAACTACTTTCAAATATACACGACAGTGTCATTAACTATAGTCAATATGCTGTGTATTATCTCCCCAGTTCTTATTTATGTTGTAACTAAAAGTTTGTACTTTTGACCACCTTCACCCATTTCCCCCAAACTCAAGTTTTAGCAACCACCAGTCTGTTCCCCATTGCTACGAGTTCAATTATTTTTGATTTCACATGTAAATGAGATCATACAGTATTTGTCTTCTCTGATTTATTTTACTTAGCATCATGCCCTCAAAGTCCATTCATGTTGTCACAAATGGCAGGATTTCCTTCTTTTTTATGACTAAGAGTCCTAGTTGTATGTATAGATACATACTGTATTCTCTTTATCCATTCATCATTGATGGATGCTTAGAATGTTCCTGTGTTATGGGTATTGTAGATAATGCCAAAATAAACATGGAAGTGAAGATACCTTTTGGAGATAGTGATTTCATTTCCTTGGGTGGCTGAGTCATATGATAGTTATATTTTTAATATTTTAAGGAACCTCCATAGTATTTTCCATGGTGGCTGCACCAACACACATTCCCACCAAAAAGGTACAAGGGTTTCTTTTTCTTTACATCCTTGCCAACACTCACACATATATGGTCTCCTGTCTTCCTGATAACAGCCATTCTAACAGGTATGAGGTGATAGTCCATTATTTTGTTTTGCATTTCCCTGATGATTTGTGATGTCAAGAATCTTTTCATGTACCTGTTGACCATTTGCATGTCTTCCTTGTAAAAATGTCTATTCAGTTCCTCTACCCATTATTTTAATTGGATTGTTTGTTATTTTGGTATGAAGTTACATGAGTTATTTATATATTTTTGGATATTAACCCCTTATCAGAAATATAATTTGTAAATATTTTCTCCCATTCTATAAATTACCTTTTCTTTTTCTTGATGGTTTCCTTTGCTGTACAGAAGCCTTTTATTTTGGTGTTGTCCCACTGGTTTATTTTGCTTTTGTTGCCTTTGTTTCATGTGTTATATCCCCAAAATTATTGCCATGACCGATGTCAAGGAGCTTATCTCCTATGTTTTCCTCCTTGAAGTTTTATAGTTTCAGGTTTCACATTTAAGTTTTCAACCCATTTTGGGTTAATTTTTGTGTATAGTGTGAGAGAGGGGTCTAATGTTCTTGTTTTGTACGAGGCTGTCCAGTTTCCTAACAACAGATACTGAAGAGATTGTTCTTTGCCTATTGCATATTCTTGCTTCCATTGTCTTAAGTTATTTGACCAAAAATGTGTGAATTTATTTTGAGGCTTTCTCTCCTGTTCCATTGATCTATGTGTCTGTTTTTATGCCAGTATTATACTTTTTTGATTCCTATAGATTTCTAATATGATTTCAAATCAGGAAGTGTGATGCCTCTGGCTTTGTACTTGTTTTTCAAGATTGCTTTCATTGTTTTGGATCTTTTGTGGTTTCATACAAATTTTAGGATACTTTGTTCTATTTCTGTGAAAAATACTATTGGAATTTTGATAGGGATTGCATTGAATCTATAGATTGCTTTGGGTAGTGTAGATATTTTAAAAATATTAATTTTTCCAAGATGAGCATGAAATATCTTTCCATTTATTTGAGACTTCTTCAATTTCTTTCATCAGTCTCTTTAGTTTTCAAAGTATAAATTTTTCACCTCCCTAGTTATATGCATTTAAGTATTTTATTCTTTTTTTTTAAAAAAGATTTTATTTGTATGAGAAAGAGAGAGAGAGAGAAAGCACATTCAGGGGAGGGATACAAGCAGACTTCACACTGAGTGAGGAGGCTGATGAGGGGCTTGATTTCATGACCCTGCAATCACGTCCTGAGCTGAAATCAAGAGTCAGATGTTTAACTGACTGAGCCACCCAGGTGCCCCAGTATTTTATTTTTCTTGATGCAATTATAGGCAGGGTTGCTTTCTTAATTCACCCACCTTTTTTTTTTTTTTTTTTGAATATACAGCATGCACATAAGCTGTCTATTAATTTTCTTAACTGTGCATCCTGGCATTGGGATTGATGACTCTGATGGCCAGCTGGGCTGCTCTTTCCACAATGACTTTGTGGTTCTTGGAGGAGACCATTGGGCACCGTTTTTGCACAGGAAGATTATTTTGCACATCAGCAGCACTTCAAGCTCCTTGAAGTGTGGACTAGGCATTTCCAGAAGCCACTGGGGAGCATGTGCTTTGTTTTCTTGTTGCTCCCATAACCAATGTTGGGCATCAAGGTCTAGCCCCTGAATCTTCTGTGGACATTATTGTCGGTGTCTCTGGGTTTCTGGCAGTTAGGCTTAATTTTGACATCTAGGTCTTACTGGTGCCAGCTGAAATTGTTGGTCCTCTTTCTAATGATCTTGGGCTTCATCAGAGGTCTGAGGATGGCCATGATATTGAGTAGGAGATGGCTGCTCCCTTCTCAGGCAGTGCTGAGGAAAAGAGCTTAATTTCTCCTTTTGATAGTTGATGTTAGTGTATAGAAATGCAACTTATTTTTGTGTATTGATTTTGTATACTATTTTACAGACTTTATTACTTCTAGTAGTTTGTTGTTGTTTGTGCAACTTTATTGAAGAAAAATCAGTTACTAGCAGAGTTGCTCACTCATCCTTCAGCAACTTGCTTTATTTATTCAGTGCTATATTAAATATCATATTGGGAGACAGATTAACTCATAGCACTAAGTCTCCTTACAATTTAAATGAGAATTACAAAATATTTGAGACCCTCTTTTGGAATACAAGGGTGTTTGACTTCCACTTTTCATTCTCTGTAGAACAAGAGATTCCTTTATTCCTTTATTGACATGCATAAAATACATTGCGTTTTCTGTTCTGCTGATGCTATCAATGCAATACCTATTTTCCAGCCACATCAGTTATAAGCATAAAATATATCGTGTAACCTCTAATCAGTAACAGTGGAAGGCTTAAAAAAGCCTGGTGCTAGAATAATGCTGTTTCCTTTGATGTGACAACCTAACATCCATCTCCCTCCCACTCAGATGATTTCTTCAGCACGTTAGAGCAGTGAAGAATGGCTTTAGTCTCATAACCAAGTTAGAGTGAAGACACTGGCCACGTAATAAACATGCTTCATTTTTTAAAAAATTCTGTATCTTGGGCAACTGTTCTCTTGTAACTACTTTCTAGTTTCTAAAAGCAGTTACTGTCCAAAGCTGGAAGAACTTAAGTCTTCTCAGATGAGCATGCAAATGGGTTGAGGGAGGCAAACAAAAAATAAAATTAAAACAGATGAGGTCTGATAGGGGAGCAGCCGGGTAAGAAAATGAAGCAAGCAAACAAACAAAAAGGAACAGTGATTCAAAGTTTATTCCAGCTATAATGCAGGTTATTCTGACTTTATGGAAGCATCACATGGCATAGTTCTGAATCCAGTCCCAAGATATTCTGTTGTACTTCTCTCTGTTCTCTGGATCCATGCAATCTCTGGTACTAGGGGTCATATGGGCTTGGGTCACACACCAATGAACAAGTGGATAAAAGAACTTTCGAAATAGTTACAGCAGGAGACCATTGTGACCTTAGAATATCAAGACAAATACTGCCATTACTATTAATATTTGGATGATAAATTCTTGTTGTAAATGCAACCTTAGGTGATTTGAAGGTGTAATCTGCAGGAAAATTAATTGTTAAAAACAATACGCTGCCTTGATATGAGCTGTCATTAGGTCCCACGATTGTTGCTCGCCAATGAAACATGCAATCTCCAACCAGACCTGCAGAATGTTGTGCTGGTGAGTCATGGGCCAAGTCTCTAAGTTCCCTACTAATCCATTTCAGTGCCATAGCCTGTGCTTTTTTTCTGGCTGCTCACTCTCTTGGTGCGTACTCAAAGGTCCAGCCAAAACTCTTGATTATTTGAGCAGCAGGGAAGAACTTTCTCCTCACCTCACACTGGCTGTAACAGACACAGGTCCTCCCTCAAGCTGTTGCCTTGGCCTCCTCCCTGTGGGGAAGCTGGTATGTCCCCATAAGGGCTCACGCTCAAGACACAGCCCTTGTAATTGGTTTTTGTGTGTTGTTTTTTTGGGGGGAGTTGGGGTCTTTACAGTTTTCTATATATAATATTATGTCACCTGCAAATAGAGACAGTCTTAATTTTTCCTTTCTGTGACATTATCTGGGTGTCCTTGAATTTAGTTCAGTTCTGACACTAGCTACCTGGAGACTGTAACCACCCCTCAGAACAATGTAACTGCTTAAAATACAACCCATCAGATATGATACTAGCCACTAAGCATGCTTAGATATAGACTTAAGAAAAACATGTGCTGGCAACAGGCCACTAGGGGATAGGACAATATACGTCTTTGAAGCCGAGCAGCTGGGGATGCCTAGCTCACTCAGGGCAGAATGCTGTCTGCTTCTTTTTTCTGTTATCCCCCCTTCCCAGAGGGAACCTGTAGTTAGACAATCCTTTGTTCGGGCTTAGTCTCTATAGGTCGTGTACTATGTGACCAGACATATTTAGCCTTCTTACTTATCTACAAGACTCGTGGTCAATGTGTAACCTACTCTGGCTTCTTTGTTAGTTGTTATCTACTTTCTAATAAATACGAGACTGAGGAGTTTCTCAGGGCAACAGTCTTTTCTACTGTCGTTCCCTGTTCCTTTTCTCTTGCAGCTGACATGTTTGTGGCTCATTCTTCTGTGCACTCTCAGGAAGTGGCAGAGACAACACCAGGTCTCACAGGTTAAGGGCTCTTGTCTCATAGGATGCCACTTCAGATGCTAATTACAGGTAGTACATCCTCTGGTTACCTATAGCTTCTGTTCAACTTGGATACAAATTGGAAGTTTTCATGACATCCTCCCCCTTGGTTTTGATTACTTGCTGGAACAGCTCACAAAATTCAGGGAAACATTAAATTACATTTATCAGTTTATTAAAGGATATGGACAGCCAAATGAAGAGATCCATAAGACAAGGTCTAGGAGGTTTTGGAATATAACAGGCTCTATATTGGTGAATATGGGATATACCACCCCCCAATTAAATGGATATGTTCTCCAATCTGAAAGCCTTCTGAACCCTGTATCTTTGAGATTTTTATGAAGGCTTTCTCACGGAAGCATGATCAATATTGGCTCCTGTTCCAGCCCCCTCTCCCTTCTAAAGAAAATATAAGTTGAAAAATCCCAAGCTCCAATTATGCTATGGTTTTCCTGGTTTACCCCCTCCTCCATCTAGGAGCCCACCTAGAATTACTTCATTAGAATAAAAGAGTGCTCTTATCACTTAGGAATTTACAAGGTCTGAGAAGCCCTGTGTCAGGGACTGGGGTCAAAGACAAAATATTAGAACAAAAGATGCTCCTAGTGCACTTTTCAGTAAGGAATTTATAAGGATTTTAGGAACTCTCTGTCAGAAACTGGGAGCTGAGACCAGTATATGTATTTCTTATTACTTCACAATACAACACTTCTGACACATCTGTGCAGCAAATCAGGGAATTTGCTTGATACGATTTCAATTCTTTAAAATTTATTTAGACATTTTCGTGACCTAACATATGATGTATTTGTTACATTTGAGCCAGCTGATCAAGTTTTATGACTCCTGTGCACCTGCCCCAAATGTCAGCCTGCCAGACATGTGTACAAGGTCATTCTGGTGAGACAGTGGTGATCTGGAATGGGTGAAAGCGTGAGCATGAGAATAGCACCCTCTGAACTCCAGGGCGGATTTCCATCTGTTGCTAGATCTGTGCTGAATTTGAAGCCCATTCCTCAGGCAGCAGCTTTCAAGGTATGCAAATAGGGTTCTTTCAGGGAAAAACTGGTAGATGGGCTTTTCTGTCTGTTGCCTCTGCTGAGCCCTGAAGGGTTAGTGAGTTAGTAAGACTTTACATCCATTATCAAAGGCTGAACATGAGAGTGAAAGCAGCCAGGTGAACTTTTTAAAATTATTATTATTAATATATAATGTAGTATTTGTTTCAGAAGTATAGGTCTGTGATTCATCAGTCTCACACAACACCCACACAACACATACCCTCCCCAGTGTCCATCACTTAGCACTCCATCCCTCACCCTCATTCCAAGAACCCTGTTTGTTTCCTGAGATTGATTCTTTCCCAATTTGTCTCCCTCTCTGGTTTCTTCTTGTTTCATTTTTTTCCTCTCTTCCCCTAAGAACCTCTGCCTTGTTTCTCAAATTCTACATATCAGTGAGATCATATAGTAATTGTCTTTCTCTGACTGACTTATTACACTTAGCATAATATCCTCTAGTTCCATCCATGTTGTTGCAAATGGTAATATTTCATTTTTTGATGGCTACATAATATTCCACAGTATATCTATACCAGAGCTGCTTATCTGTTCATCTGTCAATGGACATACGGGCTCTTTCCATAGTTTGGCTATTGTGGACATTGCTTTTATAAACATTGTGGTGCACATGCCCCTTTGGATCACTGCTTTTGTATATTTGGGGTAAATACCCAGTAGTGCAATTTCTGGGTTATACGGTACCTTTATTTATTTATTTATTTTATTTTTGAGGATCCTCCAAACTATTTTCTAGGGTGGCTGTACCAGCTTGCATTCCTACCAACAGTGTAGGAGGGCTCCCCTTTCTCTCCATCCTTGCCAGCATCTGTTGTTTCTTAACATTAATTTTAGTCCTTCTGACTGGTGTGATGTAGTATGTCCTTGTGGTTTTCATTTGTGTTTCCCTGATGCCAAGTGATGTGGAGCAGTTTTTCATGTGTGTGTTGGCCATCTGGATGTCTTCATTGCAGAAATACCTGTTCATGTCTTCTGCCCATTTCTTGATTGGATTATTTGTTCTTTGTGTGCTGGGTTTGATAAGTTCTTTGTAGAGTTTGGATACTAACCCTTTATCTGCTATGTAATTTTCAAATATCTTCCGTTATATATAAATATACATATTTATAAATAAATATAACCATTCTGTTGATTGTCTTTTGGTTTTGATGACTGTTTCCTTTGCTGTGAAAAAGCTTTTTATCTTGATGAAATCCTAATAGTTCATTTTTGCTCTTGTTTCCCTTGCCTTTGGTGATGTTTCTAGGATGAAGTTGCTGTGGCTGAGGTTGAAGAGGTTGCTGCCTCTGTTCTCAAGGATTTTGATGGATTCCTGTCTCACACTAAGGTCTTTCATCCATTTTGAGTCTATTTTTTCTGTGATGTACGGAAATGATCCAGTTTCATTCTTCCGTATGTGGCTGTTGCATTTTCCCAACACCATTTGTTGAAGAGACTATCTTTTTTCCATTGGGCATTCTTTCCTGCTTTGTTAAAGATTAGTTGACCATAGAGTTGGGGGTCCATTTCTGGGCTATTTTGTTCATTTTTAATGTATTCTTTAGGTGATATCCTCTTAAAATAATAATGCTGATAGTAGCAGCAACAAATGCTGAGTTGATGGTCGCCATGTTAGGCACTACAAATGCCACAACATAATATTTTCCTTTGGAGTACTGAAAAACTTAATTACCAAAATGTTATTTTATCAAAACTAAAAAGTTTTCTGCTTGAGAGGACATCAATTAGAGAGTGAAAAATCAACCTCCCACAAAGGGAGAAATATCAAATTTCTGATAGGATATTTGTATCCACAGTATACAAAGAATACTTACAATCCAATCATGAGAAGATACCTCAATTTTAAAAATCGGTAACAGAAACTAATATACATTTCATGTCAATTATACTTTAATAATAAATTTTAAACATTTAAAAAAATCCATGTGCTACATAAAAGAAGTTAGCTGCAAAAGACCATGGATGGCAGATTCCTTTTATATAAATGTCCAGAAAAGCTAATCTATAGGGACAGAAATTTGATTAATGGTTGCTTGGAGAGGGAGAATACAAAATAACCTCTAGGACATATGAGGTTTCTTTTTAGGATGATGAAAATGTTCTAAATTTATGTTGTGGGGATGGTTTCATAGCTTTGTAAGCATGCTATATATATTTGAATTTTGTACTTTAAACAGGCGAATTATGGTATGTGAATTACATTTTATTACAATATCTACTCAAATAATGATAATATAATCAACCTTTGAGCCAAAAGAGATTTTTAATTTCAGAAATTCTAGATACTGAGTTGATGTAACCTATCATATTTCTACTAATTCATCATTCTCTCCTTCTATGGGTTCTATCCTATTTTTAAAGAAGTGTCCTTTTTACAATTATGTATATTACTTTATATTTTGGGGGTAGAAAATTATTGCACTAGTTGTCTGTTAAATCAATGAGGTTTTAAAATGCAACTCTGAAATGGATGGCTGAAAATGAAAGTGAATTTAAGATCAGCTAATTCATGTTGCTAATTTCAAAATTAGCCACAAGAATGGGATGAAACTCATATAGTCCCTGTTGACAGAAGAACCTATCAATAGTTCTAGCTTTAAAAAAAAAATTGTAATACTCATGAAGGGTCATTAATGACTGTCCTTGCATTGAACAAATCTGTATTAGACATTGTGTGGATGCCCAGTTTGGCAGCTGCTCCCTTGGCCTTCATGTGGGCAATGTTATTAGTTTGATCTGCAAGCAAAGGAATGCTCACCATGGGATCCCATGATAGATTGCCTCATAGATGCCTTTGGTTCCACCATGAGTTACGAAGTCTTTGGTTTTGGATTACTTGAGATTGAGTGAATTTAGCAAATTGTTGATTATAAGTCTTAGAAATAAGAAGAGAATAAGATAATATAAGGTTTTGAAAGAGGCAGTGTATTTATACAAGAGGTTTGTGTACAATTCAAACTGTATTAGAGTATCTTTTAGAATTCAAAGGAAGA